AAATGCACGTGAAGTGCGTCCGCAGCACAGAACATTTAAGCGTCTTCTGATGGGCTGCAGTTGGCTGGGGGAGGACCACGAAGGACACTTCAGACAGCAGCCTGTGCTCTTCCATGGGGACAGCCAAGCTCCACCTGAACCTTTCCCTCTGTGTTAACTCGGAGATGGCTTTCGGGCCTCCTCCGGTGCCCAGGGAAGTCCTAGTTCTCTTTGCCTAGGCAATTAGGCATGAGTACTTCGTTGTAGTAAATGAGTTAAGCAGTCTAGAATATACAGAATTTTTGTTTGACTGATTGGTTTCTTTAAAAGAATGCTCTCTCTGGGGCGCCTGGGTGGCGCAGTCGGTTAAGCGTCCGACTTCAGCCAGGTCACGATCTCGCGGTCCGTGAGTTCGAGCCCCGCATCAGGCTCTGGGCTGATGGCTCAGAGCCTGGAGCCTGTTTCCGATTCTGTGTCTCCCTCTCTCTCTGCTCCTCCCCCGTTCATGCTCTGTCTCTCTCTGTCCCAAAAATAAATAAACGTTGAAAAAAAAAAATTTAAAAAAAAAAAAAAAAGAATGCTCTCTCAGGATAAGTGCAGTATCCAAAACTGGGAATCAGCCTATTAGGTACTCTGATTCAATTTTCTTTCTTCTGTCAATCTATAAAGAGAAAAAAATGAACTTTTTTCTTACTTTTAACCTTTCTGTCATTATTTCTAATATTCAGTATTTATCCAGATTAGTCATAATGCATGTCTTTCTGGTCTCATTTTGGGCTTGTGTGCTAAATAAGACTTCCTCTACCATCTATTAATAAAAACTCTTGGGTGACTTCCAAGGTGCCTCTGTCATATAAAATCCCATGCTATCTATATTTTGAACAATTTTAGGATGAATTCTGCACAAATTAAGTGGAAATGCTTTGGAAATAAAATATGTGCTGTCATCCTAAAGCTACGTCCCAGGAAAACACTGTGGAGTGGATTTATCATTCCACTTGATGGTTCCATGTTCAGAAGAGGGACGATTTAGGTGTTCGTTCCTACAATGGCAAAAGCATTAGCTTTACAAAGATGAATTTTTAAATATTCGTCATATCGATCAAGTCAGACTATGGGAAACTGAAACCAGAAGTTGAGAGGAATTCAAATCCTTCTTGAAGGATACCGTGCGTGAGATCTTTCCTGTTCCTCCCCTACATTGCCAAGTCCTCTCCACCACGAGTCTGTGAGACCTCTTGTGCCAATCCACTGATCAGCAGCCCCCCTCTTCTACCCAGACTCTTGCATTGTCCTCCCAAATCATTGTCTTATCGCTCTCCCCTGACTGAACCCAGATTTGAAGACGACTTTTGGAGTTAATGATTAAAAGTCAATACTATGACTTCCCTTTCAACAAGTTTCTGCTTGCCATTCTATGTAGGAGAAATGACATTCGAGGGGCGCCTGGGTGGATCAGTTGGTTGAGCATCCGACTCTTGATTTCGGCTCAGGTCCTGATCTCACAGTTTGTGAGACAGAGCTCCCTGTCAGACTCCGTGCGCTGACAGTGCAGAGCCTGCTTGGGATTCTGTCTCTCTCTCTCTCTGCCTCTTCCCCAGCTCATGCTGCTGTCTCTCTCCCTCTCAAAAAAAAAAAAAAAAAAAAAAAAGAAGAAGACATTGGATTATCAAATTCAAAGTTAAAAAACGTGAAGTACACCACTGGAACAGGCTGACTTTTTCTTGTTTGTTTCTTTAGTCTGACACTTCACCATAATTAAATTCATTCACTCACTCAAAATAAAAACAAAGAGCAAATAGCACTTCGTGGATTCCTACCCTGTTCCAGGCTCTGCACTTGACACTGGTCAAGGGAGACACAGTCCCACAGTTAAGGGAGAAAGGCAATTTAATCAATGATTACATAAGAGTGTTACATATATGATCATTGAATATAAGATAATGCTATAAACAATAATGACAAAACAGTAATAATGACAACAAAGGTAACAGGAACTGAATGCTTGTGAGGTAGGCATCAGATAAGTGCTTTATATGCTTTATCTAGTTTAATCTTTACAGCCACTCTGTATGGCTGTACAATTATTATCCCCACTTTACTGATAAGGAAACTTGGACCTGAGAAGGTTAACATACTTCTCCAAAATGACAGCTAGAAAGTAGCAGAGCTAGGATTGGAATCCAGTTTGTGATTAGAAAGCAGTTCTAACCTCAGAGGCCCCTTTGATAATCTCTCCGCCTCTGTCTGCCACAGCGGACTCAGGCCTGAGACCTGCAAGGCTCTTCGCTTGAGACTAGGGTCATGTGAGTGGAGTTTGAAAATGGAAGTCATTAACGAAATATTTGAAATGATTATAAAGTTGGGAACAAACCGATTTCATTTGCCAGAGCTGGGGGTAAAGACTGTAGCTCTCAAATGTAGAATTTCAGGAAGCAAGTTTAGGGGTAAATAGGTTTTCTGAGATCACCTAAAACAGTCCTGAGCGGTCTTCTTTTCCTCCCATTTCATTTTGCCAACAAATTTGTGAATCAAAGAATAAATTTCTTTTCATTGGGAGAAACGGAATTGATTGTTCAAGCTAATTAATTAAGTGAAGCTGTTACTACAGGCTGAGTCTAGTCTATAAATCCGTCTGAGGAGGGATTATGATATGGTTTGAATATGAAGAATAAAGGAATTAAAAGGCAGGGTGAGGCAAGGGATACAGGAGTACTGATGCATAGGGGCACTTGTTTATAGCAGCACTCTCAACAATAGCCAAATTGTGGAAAAAGCCTAAATGTCCATCAACTGATGAATGGATAAATTGTGGTTTATATACACAATGGAGTACTACGTGGCAATGAGAAAGAATGAAATATGGCCCTTTGTAGCAACGTGGATGGAACTGGAGAGTGTGATGCTAAGTGAAATAAGCCATACAGAGAAAAACAGATACCATATGTTTTCACTCTTATGTGGATCCTGAGAAACTTAACAGAAACCCATGGGGGAAGGGAAGGAAAAAAAAAAAAGAGGTTAGAGTGGGAGAGAGCCAAAGCATAAGAGACTCTTAAAAACTGAGAACAAACTGAGGGTTGATGGGGGTAGAGGGGGGGGGGGAGGGGAGGAGGTGATGGGCATTGAAGGGGGCATCTTTGGGATGAAACACACTAGGTGTTATGCTGGAAACCAATTTGACAATAAATTTCATATATTTAAATAAATACATAAATAAATAAAGTATTAATATTGTTAAAAAAAAAAGACAGGGTGAGGAATGAACTAGAAAGACAATCAGAAAATGGTCTGAGGGCGCCTGGGTGGCTCAGTCGGTTAAGCATCTGCCTTCAGCTCAGGTCATGATCTTTCAGTTCTTGAGTTCAAGCCCCGTGTCGGCCTCTGCACTGACAGCTCGGAGCCTGGAGCCTGCTTTGGATTCTGTGTCTCCCTCTCTTTCTCTGCCCCTCCCCCACTTGCACTCTCTCTCAAAATAAATAAATAAACATTTTTAAAAAGGAAAAGAAATGGTCTGTAGTCTTAGCTACCTTGGTGTTGCTAAAGAGAGAGAAGGAGGGGGGTAGAGGGAAGGAAGGAGAGAGAAGGAGGAGGAGGAGGCAGAGAAGGGGGAAGAGTCGAGGAGGAACAGTAGCAGGGAGGAGAAAGAGTTAAAAGAAAAACAGAAAAACCACCACCGTGGCAGGGGCTCTTAGCCTCGGGGCTGTCTTCCAGGAGCCATTTTCCTGACTGACTTTTCCACTGCGGCTGTCTTTCAAGGATTATAGCCTTGCAACTTACTTTATAGACTCTCTGGATCTTCTTCCTGTTCTTCTACGAGCTTCCAATTAATTTTGTCTTTTTACCAGTTTTTAGTTCTTTTAGACTGTGAGCATTAAAAATAAAATAGGAAACCCAGTCAAGTTGGTCTTCTGTTGCCCCATGGATACAGCCCGTGGTCAAGACTGCAACAATAGCCCTTGACTAAAATAAGATTGGGCATTCACAGCTGCATTGTATTTTGTCTACCGGTACCTCTGTGTCTCCACTGAGACGATTAAGTCCTTGAGCCATATGTTTTCATTTCTCTTTCCCCAGCATGTAGTTCCGTGCGTGATAGAGAAGGGCATACAAGAAACTATTAGTTGAACGAACGCATGAATGAATGAACGAATGAATGAAATAGAAATGGCAGCACTTGTATTGTTACCTTACTCTTCCCCAGTAATTATTCAAGCAACTACGTCCAGTGTAACTACTCAAGGAGGCCCAGAAGTTGTAATTTTTCAAAAACATATATGAATTTTCAGGCACTTGTATAAACCAGTGTTTTCTTTTTTCTCTCTCAAATCTCTATGAATTGTCAAGCAAATACTTTAGGAAGCACCATGCTACATAAACAGCTCTGCTTGGTTGTTGTCAGATTAGTAGAGCAAGAATGGAATGTTATAGTGTTTCTTGCCATCCAAGGATAATCTATTCTTGCAAAGATAGTTACGAAAGTTAATAACAGTTCCTACAGGGAAGACAAATAGTGTCTGAATTGGATTAAGGCACAATAAGAGTGCCCAATACAGTTGTGTCAGGGAGAGGTTTGGTATTTATGGCTTCATTACAACCTTAAATGGAATATCTCTATTTCTTCTGGGTTTAATGAAGCCAGAAACAACCGCTTTGTTGAGTGATACTGGAGTTTGAGGCTTATTGGGGTTTGGGGGGGTTGCTTTTAACTTGACTTATTTTAATTCACGCTTAACTAGCTCTCCCGCATCGGGTACTCAGACTGGCACTTTAAGGACAATTAGCTAAGTGTTCCTCTGTGTTCACCACAGAGCCGAGAAAAAAGATAAGGAGAATCAATAAGACCAAGCCAGTTTAGGACGAGAACTAAGTGACGAATTCACTTTCCGTCAAGAGCATTGGCCAACTCATCAAGCTGCCTGTTCTGGGAGGAAATGCTCTGCTCTCCTCCCTCTGTGCCTCATTAATGTGGAAATGGTTCTGCTCTGACTGCTCAGTGACTTTGCTGTTGTGTTACCTAGTTTTCAGGACTGTATCTCCTGTCCTTCTTCACCATCCTCATCGGGCTGGTGCTCTACTCCTCCACCTCCACGTACATAGCCCAGGACCCCCGAGTGTACAAGCAGTTCCGCAATCCCTCGGGACCCGTTGTGGACTTACCAACCACAGCTCAGGTGGAGCCTTCGGTCACCTACACCAGCCTGGGCCAGGAGACCGAAGAGGAGCCCCACGTTCGCGTGGCCTAGGATGCGGCCCTCCCTGCCCCCTGCGGTCAACTCAGCGGCCGTGTGTTCGCCCTCCATCTCTGTATTGTACATAGAGAAAGGTATTTATTAGGTGCGGTTTACACAGGTGGACTGCAAGGTAGCAAATCCGAAAGCCTATAAAAGGCACGAGCTGAAGATCACCGCAGATACGGGCTCCCATCCACCTGACTTAGAGAGATGCCTAGCTAGTGTGTATCCCGACCACAACCCTCCTGCATTAATTACTGTGAAAACTTTTGAATTAAAAGCAAGTATTATTATTATTTGTATTATTATTGTTACTGTTATTACACTAACTTTCAGGAGACTGTTTTGTACTCCTGATGAGAACTATTGCCAGACCCACATGTAGTTAACATAAATCCCACTTTTCTATGGCAAGTCACTTTTTAAGAATCATACTTTATTTTTTTGCACAGTCTATATGAGTGCTGCATGCCACAGGAGCTCCATCCCTGAGAAGTTTCCTTATCCTAGGGACCTGGTGGCTAATGGTTTCCTCTGTTACCTGTTGGATTGCCTGCTCAATAAGTATTTTGTGCTGTGACCATTGTGGGGAGGGGCAACTGACCATATAATTCTCTATTCTAGGAATAGATATAAAGCCAACACTTTAGCCTTTTTATATTTCACTCTCTGACTACTCCAGGCCATTGCCTTTCTGTTGTGCCACGTGATTCTGCTGATAAAGTCGCTGTAATACTGGATGAGGAATGTTTCATTCCTGTGGCTTATAGGAAACCCCAGAAATAATATCATATGTGTTTAGGGTAATATATATACATCTATGTATTTTAAATCTTTCTGCCCCTTCCTATATCCTCTCTTCCAAAAGTGTATTGATTTTACCTTTAATTCCTAGATTTCTTGAGTGATAATATGGAAATTGTTCAAGGCAGTGGAAAAAGCCATGGCCCTCTGCCCTCTTCATTGGGTGAGACACTTTTTAAAATACACCAGCGTGGAAATTACCCTTATCGTGGCATATCACTGGTTGTGTAGCCTCCCAACAAGGTCAAGGTGCTGATGTGGAATAGTCTCTGACAATAGCTTGACTGATTTCACCATTTAGTAGTGATAAAGATGTTGTGAATGAAAAAGTTTGGCAATTGGGTCGTGTTTGGCATCCCTTCAATAGCAGAATATAGCAACGCCATATTCTTAAGGATACAGAGAATATTGCAAGGTCCTGATAAGGCTTTGAAGCATATGTCACTAAGTCTAATTTTGTTGCCCTGAAAGTAGCTCTTTTTTTCAAACACACAAAAAAATCAAGAAACACTACAGACCTCTTCAATTTGGAATAGATCCTATGTGTCAGTACGTGAAACAGTCTTTAAGTTTGGCTGGCTTCAATACCATTCAGAAAGATCCGCGATGGGGTACAGGGTTTGTAAAAGGAAAATAAATGCTGATGAAATTGTGGGCAATTCAGACCAATACATTTTAGGCAAACAAAACAAAACACCAGAGGGGTCCCTGTAAAGGAGGACGGATTACAGCGCAGTCAGGTTTCCAATACACCCTTCACGAGGCCTAACTACTAGGCAGGCAAACGCGCCCCCTGCTGGCAGTCAGCGCCAGGCGGCTCCTCTGCCTGCCTTCAACCCCCGGGGGGTGTAGTCCTGCCCTTGGAGATGGGGAAGAAGAATGATCTCCTCGGATATGCAGATTTTATGGCCATCTCTGTTCAGCCCCCTCAGAAATACGTTTTATTTTCGGAGAAGAAAATATCAATGTTAAAGCTACATCAAGTCAAAACACCTTGCCAATCTCTGCTACCTTCTAAACCAATTAAATACCTTTCTCTGAATATTTTGTCCATTCAGATCTGAAGACCTTTGAAGACTGTGGTTTTATTTTTGTGTTTACATTCCTTTGGTTGGCATAATTTGCTTGACTTATTGCATTTTTAGTATTTATTTTAAAGCCAAATGTTTTAGTCTTTTTTATTCATTTTTTATGACACTAATTCATAAACACTTAGTAAAGTCTTATGAGAAATAAGTGGATGAACATATTCCAAGTCAACTCAGTCGACTGGGAATTTTTTAAAAATTTAAATTTCAGAAAGGTTTGCAACCAATGGATGGCTAAAAGTAGCCATCTGGATTATTTTCTAGGATATTTCAATTGACTCCATTGTATGGAAACCAAGTGTGAATGTTGAGGTGGACTCACTGTATACCCTTTTATCATCCAGTGTCCTTGTGCACAAGACTTTCATGTCACTGGGGTCCTTCACCGTGTTGGTTCGTCCCCATTTAGAAAGGCTGATAACACGTCGAACCATCCGAGATCAGGAGTTCCAGATGGGCCCTTCGGAAAACAAAAGAAAATAGCCAAGAACAAATGTGACAACACCGGTCGGTCCTTCCAGAGTGCGTCGGGACGCGAGAGTAGGACATTAACTCTAGTTGTTTTCGTTTCCGAAATATCATAACCTCAGTAGACACCAGCAAAAATCTCAGCTTTCTGACCCCACCGCCACTCTCTCCTCCACAAGTGAGACTTTAGCAACTTGTATAGAATTGGCTTGGGTAAGCAGACCACAGCTCCCCGTTACCCCGCTGGCGCTAGTGGTGAGTGCTGGTTCTCACTTCCTCGCCGGAAACTTGCACTGAGGACAGCGCTTGCCTTGGTCACACCTTCCCACAGCTCCAAACTCTGGACCACACAACCAGGTAGACCAAGCAATGGAAACATTTGCACCACTGTGTCCCATGAAAATGTTTCGATGTTTAGTTTAGATATTGCTAACTCGTGCTATTAACCTTTTGACAAGCGTGTAGTATTGTTTGTTTTGGGTTTGTTTTTGAGTTATAACCAGTTAGTAGTCCCCGGCTAGCTCCCAGTACAGATTTTACCCCATGGGTAGGATTCTATTGTCAAGCCACATAACAAAGCACACTAATCCAGACACTGCAAATGGAAAATATGAACCAAAAAGGAAATTTACACCGAGAAGTTGAACAAACTTTCCATTTTTGATATTTGCATGCTCCCCCCTGGACTGGCTGTGGCAATGTAATGCCTGTATAATGTTTTCAAATAAAAATAAATGCTTTATGAAAGCACGGAGTTCTTGGTTTTCTTAAGTGTTTGTCTGCACTATGACAACCGTGGAAGGAGCTCCCTTGGGATGCTGGAAATAGCTATGAAAGTAGACAGCAGGGCACATGTCAAAAGAAACACCAGAAAGAAAATATTTCCAAATTAGGAAGGGCTCAGTTGGTGTCAGAGCCGGAGCTTTGAAAAGCCACAGTAAGCACGTTTGTAATTTGCAAAATTAATTATTTATCTGAGTACTTAAGAAGGTGCTGGGGGCTACAGTCTTCAAGTCCATGTTTAAACACGTTAAAACACATGTAGAACAATATCAATTTTCCCCAAGAAACAGTTTCTTATAAAGGACAAAGTTCTGTGTGTGCTTCCCTTGGCACAATGCCAGACTTAAAAGACGAACACCACGTTTGTTAAGCAGAACTCTTTGTGTCTCTCCTCTGGGCTGACACCGTATCCTGTGATTGTCCCTCCTCCACTAACTGTAGCCACCAGCAACCCCTTAAGTACTTCAGGATGATGTCTATAAATTCGCATGTTCTTGTGTGTGTTCACAATCAGACCTCAAAAATTAAAGAGCTGCAAAAACTGTGTACGTGAGTTATATATTTAAAATATTTTTAAAAGAAAAACACCCATTTTTCAGAAGAATAGGAATAGCAGCACACTGATCCTTTTAAAGTATTCTCTTTTTTTTTTAATGTTTATTTATTTTTGAGAGAGACACAGACAGACAGACAAAGCACGAGCAGGGAGGGGCGGAGAGAGAGGGAGACACAGAATCCAAAGCAGGCTCTAGGCTCTGAGCTGTCAGCTCAGAGCCCGACGTGGAGCTTAAATCCACGAACCGTGAGATCATGACCTGAGCTGAAGTCAGACACTTAACCAACTGAGCCTCCCAGGCGCCTGCTTTTTAAAGTATTGTTGAGTGAGATCCATTATGATCTTCCATTATAAATAGAACAGTCTGCATTTAACACAAATAATTTGCTTCAAAACTGTGACTTAGTTTTAAAAAAGTTTTTTCCTTGAAAAATGTAAATGTTTCTCTAATGTGTTGTTTATTTAGGAGGCTTTTCACCGAAGATGAAATACATTTGAACTTCAAGCCAACCTATGTCCAAATGCCCAGCAATTCATTGGAGTCCAAAGATTATACATAATAAATGCATACGACATGTATACTCTGTCTCCCCAGTGAATTATAATTTTCTTAAGAGAAAGAACTCGGTTTTCTAAATGCTTGAAGGTTCTTGCGAAGGTAAGATAAGGCAGCCCTTGGATGATTTAGCATGAAGAAAAAAGAGAAACAAGTACAATTCGGCAGGAGAGCTGTAATAGATTATATTGTCTCGATGTTGCGTAGGAAAACCAACTGTAATATCAAAATAACAGGGTCTGAAACCAGATCCATTTTCAGGCCTAGCAAAACATCTTGCACAGGGAAGGTACTTATACATCTTTTTTTTTTTTTTTTTTTAATGGAATCTAACTTCTTAACCCAAAATAGAAAATACAAGAGTAAGATTTCTATTACAAAATGTTCCCTTTTCTACTACTTGAGTACTTTTTTTCTGTAAAATTCCTGTTCTTGGAAAGGAAGAAATCACTGGTCCACTTAAATGCACCATTCTGGGGCGTTTTTTACAAACTCTTAAAATGTTTACCCCTTCAGGTTGGCCCCGGGATAAAAAAACAGCAAAGTGAAGTTCTTTTTTTTTTACTTGCAAATAGTGTTTTTGAATTTATAACATTGCTTCTTAATTATGCACGCTGGTCTTTCTTTTTTCCTTCCTTTCTTTCTTTTTCTTTGATTTCTTTTTTTTTTTTTTTTCTTTTTCTGGCTTTTTTCTTTCTGCAGGAATAAACAAAGGGATCGCTATGGGCCACCTAGGCAGTGTCTCTGCCCTTTATTC